TTTTCGATTGAAATGAAAGAGATCTAAAACTATTTTTTTGTAATGTTATGCTTTTTTCAAAATAAAAAATACCTTTATAATATTGTTTTGAAAGTTTATTTACACCTAAGTACTTTTAAAGTAATGTTTTAATATGGCACTCCTTATAAACTTAACTTTATTGTCAAGTTCAATGCAACTGTGGTTTTATAGATTGTTTGATAAGTCAATTTCTAATTGTTTTTCTGTTTGTTTAGAAAACTTCGCTTTTGTCTAAGTCCAGAAATTGTTTAGTGTACAACAAGTTGTGACAATATTAACTGTGTTTTTAACTGTTGTATCTAATCTCTTTAAAAGACATTGAAATCAAACTTTCAATCTTTCAAATGCATTCTCAACTACCACTTGACATTTACTTATTTAAGTGAACTTTTATTTATTTAAGTGAAGCGTTAAACTTGGCTTCTTTTATTCTTAAATTTCCACAATCTGAGTTTCCCTACTCAGATTATGGAAATTTAAGAATTAAATTTCCACTGAGCCAATCTTCAAGAGAATAAGTTAAATCACCAAGAATAAGAGGACCGAAATCTATACTATGAACTGTTTTAGATAAGTTATTAGGTTAAAAGATTTTAGCCAGACAATCTTTATATAAAAGAGTTTTTTTAAAAACACTTGAATTGTGAGATTTGTCAGTCCACCATAAAAAATATCTTTGTAAAAGTACTTGCTATCTGCCAATCCCTTTAAAATAATAGAGTGATATTCTTTTCTGTTTATATAATCCTCTGAATTTTTATAAAGATCCTTTATTCTTACGGATATGTAGCAGTAGATGGATATCAATCCATCTACTGCTTAAACTACTTGTGGAAAAACAAATAGTTTAAAAAAATAAAGTTTTAATGAAAGTTAGTTTCTTCTATAAGCATTAAGGGTGAAATTTCCTTACATAGGTAATTAAAGCGTGCTTTGGACATTTTTTGAAACCAATCGTCGTCGTTCCAATAGTAATTGTATCAAAAGTTTTGACTGCGAGGCCAAGACTTTCTGTGAACGGAATAATTATAAGGACTAATACAGTTCATGAATATGTGTTTTAATTAAAGTATTTTTTTTTTCTTAATATATGCAGAATTTTAAAATAAAACCTTGATCTCTTAATTTCGAGATCAAGGTTTTATTTGAGAGCGCCATTTTTAATGTGAAGATTAAAACGTTCTATGTGAACGCAAGAAAACTGAAAAGAAAACGTGTTTTAATATAAAACTAGTTTTTCTTTAAAAAGATTAGTATAAAACAATTTAGTGTGAAAAGACTACAGCTTTTTAGAATTTGATTTAAAAACGAGGTTTGAAATAAGAAAAAAACAAGTAAACTTTAGGAAATTTTTTCACAAAGTTTTTCTATTCCTATCCATTTATGTTTAAACAGTGATTATGTTTTCACTGTTCACAGTGATTATGTTTTCACTGTTTAAACATAAATGGATAGGAATAGAAAAACTTTGTGAAAAAATTTCCTAAAGTTTACTTGTTTTTTTTTAATTTTAATTTTTAATTTTAATTTTATTTTAATTTTAATTTTAATTTTTAATTTTAATTTTATTTTAATTTTAATTTTAATTTTTAATTTTAATTTTCATGAAATGAGTTTGAATTTAATAATTCAATAATTTGCATTAATAATTTTATTATTGTAGTTAACATTTTTCTCGCCGACACCGAGCTATAACACAAAACAGATATAAGATAGAAAAAAGTTATTTTTTAAAAAAATTGAATAAATATGTGTGTTTTGATAAAATACATAAATACTTAGAAATACAATGATAACAAAGATTTCGATTTTATCTAAAGTTAAGGAATTAAATTATATGACTCAAGCTAAAAATTGACAAATATGTTCTGATGTAGCATCAAACAATAAAACAAAAATAAAATTTCCCGACGGAAACAAGAACATCCTGACGGGAAGTTCACAACTTCGATGCTATCAAAATATGATATTGAGATTTTTTCTACTTACATTATTATTTAAAAAATATATAAAACAGAAAACCGTTCAAAAAAAAATTAAATCGTAAAGAGATATGCTTGTTTTAGTGGGCAGAACAGAATAAAACTGCATAAAGTCGGAAATCCACATTCACTAACTACTGTTAAATATCAGAATACAGACCACCGTGTTCACCAGAATGTTATTTCTGAAATGCACAATGTCTGATTTTTTTTAACATTTGGAAAATAATTACTCTCTTATACCCAGTTTGTGGTGACTGTAAAACATGTCTTATTTTAAAAGGGCTCAATACTTTTAATGTTAGAAATTGCATAAAGCATCAATAAAATAATACAACGAGTTTTGTTGATATAAAACAACCTCTCCATATCGTTTTACTCCTTTTTCATACAGTTTTTAACATTGGTATAAAACGCGTTTAAAATAAAATGTATTTTATTGTGGGTATTGGTGGTTTTAATTAAGAAAAGATAAAAAATACTGGTCATTTTATGTGCAAATTTATAACATAATTTTACTATTTGAACAAAGTACACCGATTATTTATCAATATAGTTTTATTAAAAATTTAAAATATATAAAACAAAAAAAAAAGTAATTTAACTTTATAACTTCAGTAATTTATAATTTGTTATATTTTTGAATAATTGCGCTAATAAGAATAAGATAAAATTACCGATTATAATATAAATAATATATAAATATATATTATATGTATTTGTATGCACACATGTACATATGTAACAAAATTTTTTTTGCACTATAACTTATATGAGATTCTAGGATGGAGAATTTTTTAAACGCGATTCTTCGATTATTGCATTTGAGAACCGAACTGATCTTCAACTAAGACTATTGTTAATTATTTTGCAGATGACACAAATTTTGCTCTTTAAGTTTTTTCAGCGAACTCTATATAATTCTAAACTTAAAACTTTAAAAACTCAACACGTGGTACAGAGCCGATAAGTTTTCTTTTAATTCAAACAAAACAAAATACATTTAATTTCACGCAACCGTCTGATGTTGTAAATGCCAATAATTTTAAGAGCTTATAAATAAAAATAAACTCCATGAACTAAGAAAACTACTGTTTCTACTAACTGCATCTCGTGTAATAGTTTTCGTTTTTGTCATAGTGGTACTTCCCAGTGGGGACTGGACCAAATAAAGACGTCTTTTGAACGTCCAAAAGACGTCCAAAACGTTCAAAAGACGTTTAAAAGACGTCTAAAACGGGTATAAGACGTTTAAAAGACGTCTTTTTTACGTCCGTGCCCACTGGGTTAATTCTTGTTTTTGAAACCTTTTAAGTGTATTTATTATATTGTTGTGGAACACGATCTCAGAGCTTTATAACTTGTATTACTGTTCTAATAAATTTAAATCGATCAATTATATATATTTTTTAATTATAATCTGTTAGATACTTAAACATGCTGGAAATTATTCTTTCTAGAAGTTTAAAAAACATAAAAAGAATTAAGATCTTTAATCAATATATTATAATATAACTCTTAATCGGAGAGAAAACCGGAGAAGTATCTGCGACTTTAAAGAAAGATAAAAAATTTTCTACTTTCAATTTGTCTTGAAAAAAAACTGTTTTGATAGACTAATATAGTTAATGCTGTGAATAGCAAAAAATAATTTAATACTAAATTTTGAGAATTTTGAAAGTTGAAATAAATGCTTCCGGTAAGTGACGGTGTGCATGACTTTTTCTGAAGTTATCTGGTAGTAAAGATAAGCCTTTTCAATTTGTTTTAAAGTTTATCTTTCCAACCTATGGTAACTTTGGGCGAATCATAACCTATATATTTAATTATATATATTTATTTTTTTTATGGAGAGATTCAGATTCTTATCGACTTTACTTTTGATTAACAATATTAATTAGTATTTAATCTTAATTATTTGACATCTTTTTATTTATTTTTATCTTAAAAGAGTTAAGCCAACATTTTATTTTTTCAAATTTGTAACCTTTTTATTTGATTTTTTCAAAAGAATAGCATAAATTTTTTCACAAGTTATATGTTGCAAAATTTTATCTTTTATGTATTTATTACTCTTTTTATATATTTTTACTATTTTTATAATTTTTTTTTTACCAGAAAATCTTATTTTTTATATACTGGTTACAATTATATATGCTGTAAGTAATAATTTTTATTTTACGGAGTCAATTCTCAGGGTTTGGTGATAAGACAAATTGTGTCTTCCTCTTGCCCCGGACATCTGTATTTATCCTGAAATATTGATTGTATGTGTATATACTTATGCCTAGAGTTTTCTCAAAATAATATTTTGAAAAAAAAATAGATAAAACAAAAATATATGAGAACCATAACAATTTAAATTTATATAAAACATTTGTATTGTTCCCAGACCCGTTTTGATATCTTACCTTTGCCCGGGTGGGAACTTTTTAAATATGATCACCATAGAACTCACAGTATATGTAATGAGATATACACAACCCATAAAAACTATAAAAAATAGAGCAATCAGGCACTCACTGGCTAGGTTAATTGGACAAACCAAAGACGCCATTACGGGTCTAGTAACCATCCAAATATGTTATATAATTATATTACACCATATAATTTTCAGAAAATCTATTCTCTATTCAGAAAATCTAAAATATGGCATTGCAAAATTTGATGATGCTCTGGGTTTTAATAAAAAATAAAAAATAAAATTTTTAATGTTATAATCAATTGTAATTTTGTCTGGAAAAACATTTTTTAAACATAAAAACCAGGTTTTTACTTTTTTATTTACATTTGCATTTCTTTTAACTGCTTTAAAAAATTTCATTTTTTTTAGGAAGTCAATGGAGTTTTTTCACGGATACTTAAATGTGATTTATAATTTAAATATATCTTTAAAATCAGATCAAATAAAAATTGAACAAAACAAAATAAAATAAAAACGTAAAACAAAAATCAAGTTAATAGTAAAAAAAAAATTAAATAATAAAAACTGTATACCATAACTACAACTTCAGCAGAAATTTTTTTTTTGCAAAACAAAATCTTTATACACAGATTGTTTTCGATTTAAAAAAATATAAAAACATTTTAAGGAACACTGTTGTTTCCAGTTAGTTGTTGCTTCTATAATTAATGCAACGGAGCAAAGGTTTTCATTATTTATAAAAAGAATAAACCAAGCTTGTTTATAATTAATGTGATAAAGTATAGATATTCTTTGTCATTCATATAAAATCTGCCGGATGATTGAAGGGTGAAAGAAATGTGTTCGGCTCTAGTGTAACTAATCCTATGATATTGTGCTTTAATAAAGTTAAATATTTTCTAGAGTAAAACTAACAATATTTTATTGTTCACTGATCAAAATGTTAAAATAAATACAAGAGCAAATGAAAAATAATAAAAAAATAAAAAATAAAAAACACCGAAGAAGGAAAAATACACCCCATTATAGGATAATGTTAAATAAAGTCTAAAACAAACTTCTGTCTATTTTTTATATACAAGTTTAAAGGAGAATTTTAAACTTTTATGATTGTTATTTTTTTGATATGTCTTTTTTGATTCGTAAAAACTGGCATTATTTTTTATCATACTTTAGTTAACTGCCATTCGGTGACCACATACCAAGATACACAGAAGACAAGCTCAGCCCATCAAGCCGACTCGTAATCAAACAAGATTTATATAGTGTAAAATGTTAAAATAAAATGTTAAAATAAGTTTCATTTTGACTTAGTTCCATGCAAGAAATTTAGCAGCCATTGGGCTTAGAGCTCTGGTCTCAAAATCAACAGGTTTGAGATTCAATGCTTACCAGATAAGCAAAGATATAGCTTGCCATGAGCTATTGAAAATAACCTTCTTAAATGCTTTTTTAGGATTATTTTGTTTTAGTCAACCTACTATTGAAATATGGTTGTAAATTAATAAATTTTTAATCATTAAAAATTTACTACATTATTCATCAGATACATTATTCATCAGATTACGGTAGAAATAGCTAATTAGTGTATTTGTCGGAACAGTAATAATTGTTGTTATGATTGTAATGCTATTGTGAAATTTTGTAGTATGACTCTTCTTTGAATTGTATTTACTTTTACAAGTGTGTTTGTTTGGGTTGTGTATCATTTACATAAAATCTGTCTGGATTTTTACTATGTTATCATCTATTTCTTGAATTATGGCCTATTTTACCTGATTGGGTTTTCAAGTATAAATATGTTGTTGTAACTAAAAATATATTTATCTAATCTATTTAATTTTAGGAAGCTATGTCTAAGTCTACAAAACAGCTACCCATAGTCCTTGACCTTGTCTTAAGATCAAAAATTAAGGTCTTGGCCTTGGCCTTGAAACTGTTAGTCTCGGACTTAAAAATTTTGGCATTGGCTTTGATTGTTTTGGCATTAGCCTTCAAAAAAAGTACATAAAATTGAATAATTAAAAGATTTTATTCTTTATTTTTATGTATTTTTGTTTTTGATTTTCATACATATCTACAAGTATGTTTTCTTATTGACTTCGTAGAATTTTGCGGATAACCCTGATTTTTTTTTACAACATGTGGTTTATTTTCACAGCAATTGTTACCTACAGTTTTATTAATAATTGGACTTAAAGTTAGGCAAAAGTTTAAGCCTTTGGGCTTGAAAATGTTTGAGTAGGCTTTGGCCTTGAAACTCTTATTCTTGGCTTTAACCTTAAAAATCTTGTCCTTGGTCTTGTCCTTGGTCTTGGCCTTAGCCTTGTAACATGTGGCCTTAGCCTTGTTCTTTGGCCTTGCTACTTTTGGCCTTTTTAACAACTCAGCTTTAACATTAAATTTTTATTCTGCTAAAGCATATAGTTATGTTAGAAAAACATTTAATAATGCACTTCTCCAGCCGAGAATTATACAAAAATAGTATGAAAGTGTTGACTGTTCCCGTGGGTTTTTTAAAGAAGCTTTAGTTACTCTTCATAGCAAAGTAAAAGAGACTCAGAAAATTGGTCAACGTGTTGCGCGTTTATTAATGTTAGATGAAATGGCCATTTAAAAAAAAATTGAATAAACAGGCCATAAATTTTCTGATTTATTGCTAATATCAATAATGATAGTTTACCCAAAACAAAAGAAGCTTTAGTTTTTATGGTAAACTGTATAAATAGACGTTGGAAACTTACTGTTTTATATTTTTTAACTGATGGTTTAGGTGGTTGTGAAAAAGCTAATATTGTTATGCGTTGTCTGCTATTTATTTATGAAAGTGGTACAGAATTTATAAAATTATTATTGCTAAATATTTAAACATAAGATTGCACCACAAACCTGACTCAATCAACGATTTACGACATATTAAACGTATACAAAGTGTATTAACTAAGAAAATTTTATTTTTGAATCAATAAAAAGTTATTATATTTTAATGAAATGGATAATAAAAAACATAAAATTAACTGTTACGTTTTCTATTCTAAGAAATCTATGAGTGCATTAAAATAATAATTGATACAAATAACAAATTTAATAATATTTAAAAAAATAATAATAGTAATGATAATAAGGTTTATGACAAAGTTTTACATTTAACGAAAAGTTTTCTATTCTTAAAGCTTTATTTTGTTTGTATTGCGTTTTGTTTTGCCCAAACGTGACGCCACGCGCAAAAAGATGTTGGCTTCAAAATATTTAACTTACGGCGAGTGATTCAATTAATATGGTCGATGGTTTTAACCAATATTTTACATTAGTAACATATTATTTCAGTCTTGGGCAACTCCAAATATTTTTCTTTCTGCCCAGTTTTTTAACCTGTAATACGTTACTCATTGGAAAATAACATACTAAAAGTTTTCGAAAGGATTTGAAAAGCTGACAGTGAAATTTAAAATAAGCGCAAAAACTACAATTTACCCAAGTAGTCAACTCTACTACCTCTAAAAAATTATTCTAAAATTTTACGATTTTTTTGGGATGGTTATGCATCTCACATAAAATGTTTAAGTCAAAATTAAAAAAAAAATTGGAAGCGAGATACACTTTTGTGACATTACAACGAGATCATTATAAGATTGTTATTTGAAAGCAAACCATTGATAGCAAATATCAATATCATAATTACATCACATTGATCTTAACTTTTTGACTAAAAATAAAAGTTGATTTTTATTTTTAGTCAAAAATTGTCTTCGTAAACTTGTAATTTTTAACTTATAATTTTTGGTTCCGATTTTCAGCCATTAACCGTTAACCAGCACCAAGAGTGTACCTAATCACAATGATGCGGAATGATATGATTAGGCTATGTTATTAAATTCTTATCATTAATATTGGTGCAATACAATCATCAATGCTATATTTTATTCGCTTAAAATAAAAAACTGCTTTATCTAAAGTCAATAATAGCCACAATCTATATACAGAAACACAAACAAAACACAAACAAAGATATGATACACCTGCTACTTTAAAGAAAAATTTAACTTTAATGAAATTAATGAGATTTAATACAAATCTTTTAAAAGCAGCTAGAGTGTTATCGAAGTTTATAATGTAAGTCCAATAAAATATAAATTAAAAAGAAAATTCTATTATCTGAAAGATACTACAAAAGATAAATTAAAACGCAATAAGCAAAAGTATATTTGCTTAGAAAGATAAAGTTTGTAGAAGCAGCTCCTGGACAAGTGAAAGTACTTCTCGGCTTTCTAAACGGTAAAAATATTAATAAAATAAATAGCTGCCTCTCCCAGGTGAAAATGGGTCAGACAGTATATAAACAAAATGATTCCACAGGAGAGTTTATTATTCTCTCCTTATTAAATCATATATAGTATACCAAAACTTCTATAATAAATACATTGAGTGTAACAAACACGCTAAAGAAATAGCAAGAAAATGTCATTTAATGAAGGGTTGGCATATATATATATATATATATATATATATATATATATATATATATATATATATATATATATATATATATATATATATATATATATATATATATATATATATATATATATATATATATATATATATTTGGTTTTTTATTTATTTTTGAAAGGAAAAAAATTCCAACTTTGAGAAAAATCAAAAATTTTTTAAAAACTTTTTGGTTCCACAGAAAAGCTCCACAATATGATATAAGATACCTTCCAAAATTCGTATGCGTATAACGTTGATGAATAAAAATGTCATTTCATAGGTACATAAAGCAAAGAATATTAAAAACTTGATACATATTAAAAATTTACTTATATGTATATAAAATGTTTTGAAATTTAATAAATAACAACATCATAATTGATTATTTTTAAGTTGTAGTAGTTTAGCATCCGAGGTGCAGTGGTTAAAGACACCTAACATTGCCAATTCTAACAAGAAGTAATAACAAATCAACAGAAAATGGTAGGAATGTTAGCAACAAACCTAGTTTGGGAAAAATTATAGCATTGTAAAAAAAATTGGGTAATTTTAAATTTTACACTTGTTTTACTGTACTGAACTCATTTTTGTACTGTACTGAACTCATTTTGTGAACAAAATAAGTTTAGTACAAAAAGTACTAAATGGTTATGAAAAGATTTTTAAGCCAGACCATTGGCGTAGGAAGATTTTTAAATGTTTGAAATAAACAACTTTTAAACAAAAAAAATATTATAAATTTTTTTACGTTATATATGACAAAAAGATTCTTCACAAAAAAAATTACTGCGATTGGAGAATGGGAACAAAAAACCCTAAAATCTTAGCCCCCCTGCCCCAAACGTGAGAGCAACAAGTTTATGAAATATTTTTTGTACTATTTTAAACTAGTTTTATATTCATCAAGAAATTTTAAATTTCATAGTAAATCATTTTAGCGTTCAAAAATTATGACCATATAAAGTTTGTCTGGTTACCAGACAATAAGCAGTTTAAAACTAATATCCTAATTTAAGATGTATTTACATTTTTAATCTGTAAATAATAATATAATGCTTTCTCTATAAATTTACTTTTATTATTTAAAAATAATCAGGGTGGCCAGCAATTTGGAAATTCTTCTAAAGTAAAGAAATTAAATAAATTATGCAAAACTCAGAGAATATAATTGATTTAGTTGCAAACTATAAGTTATTATTTGAATCGGAAGGTTGTAAA